CTTGGCTACCAGCGCCGCCGCCGCCGCATCCTCCTCCGCCTCCCTCCCTCGTCCCCCCCAATGGCACAGCTCTTCTGAAAAGCAGCATCCCGGCCCCCGGTGTCCTCTCCTCATCCCTCGGCTCCGCCTCCGCCCACCACCGCTCCTTTCGTCCCAGGTGGCCAGGACCGCTGCAAGCCGAGAAGCAGCCAAGCGCTCGCGCGAGGCCCGAAGGAGGGCGCGCACCCCGCCCCGGAGGCAATCTGCCCCTCTCCTCAACCTCTCCTCCAAGGCCACTCCAGGGGAGCGGGCGGCCAGGGAGCAGGAGGAGGCTCGGACGGCCTGGCTTGCCGACCTCCATCCGCAGGTCCCTTCCTATCTCCTCCCGCCCCACCCATCTCAGGACCAAAGCGTTCAAGCATCCCGGTGCTTCTTCTCTTCCTCGTCATATTCCTCCTCCTCCGCCTCCTCGTATTCCTCCTTCTCCTCCTCCTCCTCCTCCTCCTCCTCGTCCTCCTCCTCCTCCTCCTCCTCCTCCTCCTCCTCCTCCTCCTCCTCCTCCTCTTCCTTCTCCTTCTCCTCATCATCGCCCCCATAAACATCAACATCATCATCCGTATCGCCACCACCACCACCATCATCACCATCATCACCGTCATCATCATCATCATCATCATCATCATCATCATCATCATCATCATCATCATCATCATCATCATCATCATCATCAGCATCAGCATCAGCATCATCATCATCATCATCAGCATCATCATCATCATCATCATCATCATCATCATCATCATCATCATCATCATCATCGTCATCGTCATCGTCATCGTCATCATCATGATCATCATCATCATCATCATCAGCAGCATCAGCATCAGCATCAGCATCAGCATCAGCATCATCATCCTCATCACCGTCGCCATCACCATCCTTTTTCACAGCCGCCATCGCCATCACTATCTCCAGCATCAACATCAGCATCATAAGCAACACCATCCGCAGCAACACATCACCGTCATCATCATAAATCATCATCATAGCCATCGTCACTTCACAAAAGTCAGCATCCTCATCATCATCCCCATCATCATGAACCATAATCATCAGCACCATCATCGCCACCGTCGTCATCATCAACAGCAACATCATCATCAGCAGCAGCAGCATCATCATCATCATCATCATCAGCATCATCATCATCATCATCATCATCATCATCATCATCATCATCATCATCATCATCGTCATCGTCATCATCATCATCATCATCCTCATCCTCATCATCATCATCATCATCATCATCATCATCATCATCATCATCATCATCATCACCATTCAACATCATCATCATCATCCCCCCCGCCCCCCCTTCGTTTCAGTGGCACCTGAGCGCTGGCCTGAACGAAAGAGATCTGGAACGAAACGGGGCCTGGACGCCAAGGATTGTCCTGAACGAACCCTGGACACCAAGTTCTCTGGCACCTCATCCTGAAAAGTGACTTGGCACTCAACGGGCATAGGAAGGGCCTTGAGAGGCCGAAACTTGCGCGAACGAACATGCCAGCCACCGATGCAGCACATATTCGGGCCTATCTACGGCTAGGGCGGGCGAGGTCGTGACAGTGTGTGTTTGTGTATATCCGCCGATCCAGCGTGTGAGTTTGAAAGAACCTTAGATGTAGCCTCAGCTTCAGTTCCTGAGCTTCTGCTCTGCTGGGGGGTGGGTGCCGGAGTGGCTCCGCTGGGGTAGGGGTGTGTGTGGGGGGGGGGGGGGACGCGCTGTGCTCCGTTTTCCGGGGGGGGTCGGGTCGTGGGAAAAACAACAGATTGCCACCCCGGATGCCAGAGAGCCCAAGATTGCTGCAAGATATTTCGAAGACGGCTCAAGACGTACCCAAGACGGCCGATGATGGCGTCATGACGGCCCAAGAGGCCTTCAAGAGGCCTCTAAGACGGCCCAAAACGTCTCCAAGATTTCCCAAAAGGCCCGAAGAATGCCCAAAAGGCCCCCAAAGAGGCCCCAAGAGCACTCCAACAGTACCCACAAGAAGGGTTCATGAGGCCAAAATCGTCTGTTGTCCGATAGTTTTGGGCTGATTTTGACATGCTCGCCTTTTCGGGTTTCCGACGCTCCAAGACGGCCCAAGAGGCCCCCAACATCGCACCAAGACGGCCAAAGAGGCTCCCAAGAGCGCCCCCAAACTGCCCAAGGAGCCCCAAGGCTACTCAAGGGGGCACCAAGACGGCCAAAGAAGGCTCCAGGACGACCTCGGAGGCACCCAAGGCGCTCCGAGTGGGGCCCCATGACGGCCCCAACAGAAGCCCCTGAGAAGGAACCCGACCCAACACTTCGAGTCTTCCGGCGCAAGAAGCTCCAAAAAAAACCGACGAGGCCTTTCAGAGGCCCCCAATGAGGCCTCAGGGGGACCCCAAGAGGCCCCAAGATGCCCAACAGGCCCCGCAATTGTCCCGAAACGGCCCCCGAACTGCGTCCAACAGGCCTCCGAGAAGCTTCCCAGGACACCCCAACACACATATACGAGGCATCAAACCCACAACCCAAGCACGGTGGCGGGTTGGGCGGAAAGTCACTAGGATAATAAACGAATCTTGTACGTGTAATCAGACGCTCATCATCATCATCAACATCATCATTACCACCACCACCATCATTATCATCATCATCGTTATTGTCGTCGTCGTCATCGTCCTCGTCGTCGTCCTCGCCACCATCAACATCGATCATCATCATCATCCTCCACCTACTCCTCCACTTCCCATTCCACCAACCAGATCGCATCGGGAGCGCCCCCGGATCGGCGGTACTGGCCGGAGGCCACTACAGTATGTCATATATGTATATATATACACATACATATTATCTATATATGTAGCTGTATGTGTTCGCGTGTGCATGTGCGTGTGCGTGTGCGTGTGCGTGTGCGTGTGCGTGTGTGCATGTGCGCGTACGTGTGCCGGTGCGCGTGCGCGTGCGCGTGCGCGTGCCAGTGCGCGCGCGTGCGCGTGCATGTGCATGTGCATGCGCAGTACATGTACATGTGCATGTGCATGTGCATGTGCATGTGCACGTGCATGTGCATGTGCATGTGCATGCGCATCTGCATGTGCATGTGCATGTGCACGTGCATGCACATGTGCATGTGCATGTGCATGTGCATGTGCACGTGCATGTGCATGTGCATGTGCATGTGCATGTGCATGTGCATATGCATGTGCATGTGCATGTGCATGTGCATGTGCATGTGCATGTGCATGCGCGTGCGCGTGCGCGTGCGCATGCGCGTGCGCGTGCGCGCGTGCGTGTGCGTGCTCGCGTTCGCGTGCGTGTGCATGCGCGTGCGCGTGCGCGCCCGCGGCCGCGCGCGCGGGTGGGCGGGCGGGCGGGCGGCGCGCGCGCGCGTGCGTGCGTGCGTGCGCGCCGCGCCTGCGTGCGTGCGTGCGCGCGTGCGGGCGTGCGTGCGCGCGTGCCTGCGTGCCTGCGAGCCTGCGTGCCTGCGTGCGTGCGTGCGTGCCTGCGCGCCTGCGTGCCTGCGTGCGCGTGCGCGCGTGCGTGCGTGCGAGCGCGCGCGCGTGCGCCGCGGGCGCGCGCGCGCGCGCGCGAGCGCGCGCGTGCGCGCGCGCGGGCGCGCGCGCGCGCGCGCGAGGGCGCGCGCGCGCAGCACGCGCATTCACGCGCAAAACGAAACAACGCAACATCACGCAAAGCCTCGAGGGAGAAGTCACGCCACGCACTGAAGCGCGCGGACACAAGAATACTGCCAGCCTACTCTCACCGCTCCGCGGCAAAGGCGGCGCGCCAGCCCTCTAACATTCGCCGCGCGCAGACTAAAAGTAAAGATGTTCGGGGATTCAAGCAGGCACGGCACGCATGGGGGCCGAGGCGGGCGCGGCGGCGGGGGGAAGAGGGGGGGGGAGAAGGAGGAAAAGGAGGGACGACAGGGAACGGGAGGGACAGACACAACATCAAGCGCAAATTTGCGCCAGGCTGCTGGCTCGCAGACACATTGAATCATTGCTGATGCAAGCAAAATCTGGGGGCGAACGGTTTCGCACAGACACCTCGTCCATCCATTTCTGGGCCGGCCCCTTGCGCGGGAGACCGGGCCTGCGGCTGGCCGCGCGCCTCCTGGCTGGAACGCGCCTCGCCGCAGAGCGTCAGAATCTGTCGCCCTGCATGATTTGCCGAATCATAATAGCGGGCGCCTAAAACATTGCACTGCGTAGGGCTGCTGGCCCGATCGCAACTACACCTGCCCGTTGCAAACTCTCGAGAAGCTCGCGCGGGGAATGCGCAACATGCGACGCTAGCACCTCGCGCGGAAGCCGCCCAATATTCCACGGTCGGCTTTGTTGAGCCACGCTGAGTTTAGCGAGTGCCTAACTTCACTTGTCCCCAAAATTCTGGAGACTTGGAGCTTCTGGCGATTCTGATGGACACGCGCTTCCAAGGCGCGGCTGCGTCTATAAAACTCACCCCACGCAGCTCCTAGCCCGCGTTTCAAACTCTCCGCCGACCTGTCCACGGGTTCGAGCGCGCGGGCCCGAGGCAAACCATCGAACACGTTGCTGGAGCTGGCCAGCGAGAGGGCGCCCCGCGAGCAACGTCGCATCGGACAGGCAGGAATTGAAATATATACAGATGCAATTTCACACCAACTGTTGCACCTGTTCTGGCAACTTCCCCCACTACGCGCTGCAGATGGCATGGGTTGCGTTGCGGCCCACAAAACACATTTCATCAATATACACCGAAATACCCAGCAACACGTCTTACAAAGAGTGTCGTACTTCACCGTTTCCGTGCCACGCGGCATTTCAAATCGCCATCGCCCACGCCATTATGAACAGGAACGGCGAAAGAGGCCAACCCTGCGATAAACTGGGCAACGGTCTTCTTTCGGACGACCGGCACCATCCATCCGCCAAACTGAATTTCCGTCCCTGGCAAGCATTACAAATGGGCGTAAGACCCTGCCGAAGAAGCCCCAAGT